TCTTAATTTGCACCCGTATTGATACAAACTGGCTTCCTGTAGCTGACGTCACCCTGCAGACAGACAGCTGCTCCCACTAACATGTGTCTGTGTTCATGACTGAACAGCAGTTTGGGAAACATTTCAAGAGGACAGTAATGCTCCTGCTTCAACAGCACTGCTGAGTCAAACAAATAATCATTTTCACAATAAATTTGTGATTTTTTTTATAGGGGTGGCTGCAAGATAATAACCCCGAGTTGCTCTGTGATGCATCCATCGGAGTGTGAATGCGTGTGACTGTAGTTAGAAAGCACTGAGTACAGAGAAAGTGTTTGTGAGAATGGGTGTGATTGGGTGCATGTGGCATGTTGTAAAGAGCGCTTTGAGCTCTGTATAAGAATCAGTCCATTTACCATTTATATAAAAGCATACTTGATAGTGCTACGTGGCATTTTTAGAAAAAATATGCACACTATACAATTCAGTTTTATTTATACAGAAACAAATCACAACAACGGTTGCCTCAGGGCACTTTTAACATGACGATAACTGTGCACGCACACACATCATTACATTGAAGGTTACAACATACCTGCCAGGCTTTTTGGTTTATTGAAATGCTGTCTTCTGGGTGTGATGCTGCCGATGGAAATGTAGAGCAATGCCTGCTGCTCCCGAGTGGCTCAGCACAGAGCACAACAGCCCAAGGCTGTCTTAATCCCCAGACACACAGCGTCGCCCACAGGAGCCTGTCATTTCCACCTGTTGTTGAAATACACAGTGCTTTGTATCCCAGGGGACGGCTTCTGCATTCTGTTGAAAGTGCAGAAATGGTTTCGCTGCTGTAGTAGCTAGGTTAGAGCTTTCGTAGATGTGTGCTGCAATGAAAATAATCTTTTTGTTTTTAAAAATTCTAAGTTGAGTTTCCTCGCTCGCTCAGAAATGAACTTATTTTTGCATGCTGTTGTGCTTATCGAACCACTATCGTTGGCATTTTTACCAGATTAAATGACAGAAATGGGAACAAACTGGGTTTTGTTGTTGTTGCCCCATGAAAGGAAGACCAAGAGTCACCTCTGCTGCTGAGGATAAATGCATCCCAGTCACCAGCCTCAGAAATCTCCAGTTAACAGCAGCTCAGATTAGAGCACAGATGCCACACAGAGCTCCAGTAGCAGACACATCTCTACATGTTCAGAGAAGACTGTGTGGAGCAGGCTCTTTTGGTCAAATAGCTGCTAAGAAACCACGACTACATGTATGGTTCCCACCATGAAGCATAGAGGAGGAGGCATGATGGTTGGGGGCTTTTCTGGTGACACTGGTGGGGATTTATTCAATCCGCCAACATGTAAACAGTCATGAAAATAAAGAAAAATCATTAACTGAGAAGGTGTGTCCAGGCTTTTGACTGGTAGTGTACATACAAACACGAACCACTGTGACCACACACAAACTATTGTAGAAACGCGTACATCCAAAGCTGAATAAATGGTATTTAAGGACAAAGTTTAGCTTCAGAAATCAGATTCATTTTCCATTTCAAAAAGTCTTCTATCCACAAATGTAAGCTGTGTTCAAATCCCGGTGTAAAACTGGGACATCTGGGCGTCGTTGGTGTTTGTTTTTAATAAACTGGACGTTTCTTCTTCTAAATAAAAAGATTAAAACCATCACACATTAGCCATAAAATGCTGCCTACATGCTGACATGTTCAGGATTAGTCACTAAGCTAACATCAGTGTTAGACTGCTATTACTGTCAGTGTTATCACACTACCTGAATTACATCTATATTCTAAATATACAGAGTGGTCATATTGCTTTGCAGTTGTGTGGATGGGAGCACACATTTGTGTGACCTCAAAAGTTGCACACAAATCACTGCACAGTTTATGCTTGTGGATCATATTGTTGTCATTTGCAACACTTTTAAAGCAAATTCCTCTCCATGAGTCTCTGGTTTTGGTTGTTTTGGCTCTTTATTGTTTATTATTGTTATGTTGTTTTCAGGCCACTCGCTGAACCTCGTTTTGCTACAAGTTTCTTCCTGTTGAAAGGGACGTTTTCCTTCCTACTGTTGCCAAGAGCGTGCCCATAGTGGGTCATCTGATTGTTGGGATTTTCTCAATTATTATAGGGTCTTACAATAATATTAAATCACCCCGAGGCTACTGTTGTTTTGAATTGGTGCTATACAAATGCCTAATTTCCCTTATCTTTCCTCACAGTATTCTTTTTCCTTTTTCCCCCCTCGCAGCAATGATCGGGCTGTTGTACCCCTGCATCGACAGCCGTCTGGGTGAACCACACAAGTTCAAGCGGGAATGGTCTAGCGTGATGCGCTGCGTGGCTGTGTTTGTGGGTATCAACCACGCCAGTGCTGTATCCTTAGAACGTTGGTATTTTTTTATTTTCTCTCTTTTTAATAATTTCCCTCTGTACACCACCAGAGTGGGCTTTAAATCAAGCATTCAAGATGTAAGTAAAGCACAGAGTTTCACTTTTAATTCAAGGAAGTTTGTGTTTAATGACTTACTGGGTAGATGATGGAGCTGTACATTGTGTAAGTGCATCGTAGAGCATTCAGCCTGGTCCTTGACCTCTGCCTGCATCAGAAAGTGGATTTTGCCAACAATGTTCAGCTGTCTCTGACTCTGGCAGCTCTTTCCATTGGCCTGTGGTGGACATTCGATCGCTCCCGCAGCGGCTTCGGTCTGGGAATCTGCATTGCCTTTTTGGGTACGCTGGCCACCCAGCTCCTGGTTTACAACGGAGTTTTCCAGTAAGTTACTC